ACAGGAAGTGCTTTTTTTGTTATTGTTATTTTTCTGAGGGACCCTTTTTCTGACATATACATCAAGAGTTTAGAACCAGTACCTTGAACAAATTATAATAGTTCGATAGACCGTAGCATGATCATGATAAAGAAACAAATAATCATGATCATGTATAAGTATTGTGTACGTGTTGCATGACATCTGAAAGAGACAATAAAGGGGATTAAAACTCTAAAGTGTCTTTAGTTAATTAGTTGCATGGAAAAGTGAGACACATAATTTGTAATAAATGGATTTTCCTCCTCTTAAGTCTTAACTAGTTTAAGTAATTGAAGGCTTTTTGCTAATTGAGGGCCTTTTTGTTAATTGGATTTTCCTTCTCTACTAAGAAATGGAGCAATACAACAAAGGTGGTGGAGGAAGAGAGCAAGGAATTAGACACTTGAACATCCACCACAAAAATGGAAAAAGAATACTTTAAAAGAAGACGAAGTTGCTTTTGCGTGTTGTGGCCTAAGAAAAAGATAAAGCATGTTAAATACTATTGTTTTTCTTATGAAAAGACGTTAAAATTATTTAAAAACAAAAGCACAGAAAGGCGTAACATTTGAACCAGATTTTTTTCAAAATTTGGATTATTTAAATCATTCCGTATTATTGCAACGTGACTTTTCAGAAAATATCTATCGTTGACCGGCAACATTCGTTTCTGAACAAAATGGCTAAATGATTTTTGAAACACCCCATTCTAACAATTCTAAGAGTCCAATCTTTAGATTAATTCGTTTGATTCATTGATTTGGTTCGTTTATTTAGTCAATATGTGATAACACGAGATAAGGCTATCTAGATTTCATATATTAAGATAATCAAATGATTCAATGTACCATTATAAGAAAATCCGAAGGCTACAAGTTTATACAATCTCCTAAATTCATGCTCACTCAAGGTACAAAAAAAAAACCATTATTTCACATTTTACCGAAAAAAAAAAAAACCATTTACATACACAACATTAATGAACTGAACTTTTTATGTTTCAAGATAATAATCACCTAAATACCTCACTTTTTTACCTCAAAAATTTGAGAGTAACGGCTATATGCATATAAGATCTCTGGTTATCTCTTCTAGGAGTCCACTAAAGACTTCCCTCTCTATGTCCCTTACAACATCATCTTTCTCGATGAAGGCGAACATCGAATCATTCCAACCCATGTCCCACATTGAGTTCAAGTTTGGGTCTTTGTGGTGAACATCTCTTTCCAACACCTTTGGTGTGTACTCTTCAACAAGTACTGATCCAGTGTAGCAGTCCTTACCGTAAGCTCTAAGCTTCTCGAACTCTTTGCTTAATTGTCTAACAAGTTGGTCCAATGAGTTTACTTTGGAGGAACTAATGGATGCCTTCACGAATGGATGGACACTTAACTCTTGAAATCTCCCTTTTCGTTTCATTAGCTCGTAGCCACAATCGAGGATTAGATTCTTGTCTTCTTGATTGTAATTGCATACATCGGCGTCGTGAAGGACATTGAGAGGAATATTGAGTTTGAAAAGTGCCTCTGCTGTGTCTAAGAATAGCTGGCTTTTCAAAACTATCTTCTTGAGGTTTATTTCGTTTTCGGACAATGTCTCTTTAGTTTCTGTTTTTCGGTGTTTTAGTCGCTTCTCTGACAAGGGTATATCTTCCTTTACCTCCCCTTTGGTTCCTGAAATGATCAAAACTTCTTTTTAATTGATTGTCACCTAAAATGCTTGTGGTTCTAGCATAAGACTTGGACATGTTTTGGACACATTTGATTCTAATCTTTCCAATACTTGATTCTTAATGATATTGAAGCTGCAATGAGATTAACAAGAAGACAAAGTGAACGTGCAGTTTTTGCTTCTTACCTTCATAAATTGTCTTGGATAATCTGTCTGAATTTCCGTCAGATTTTGATAATGGAGCTTGTTGATCCATCCCATCCATGAGCATAAGCCCATGCTGCTGCTGAATATTCGAAATAAATTAGAGGTTATTGTTAGAGATAATATAAGATGGTATGTGAAGTTACTAATTAAGCTTACATTTTCTGGTGGAGCTTGGCATGGGACTCTCTCGGTGGCGATGAGCAGAATTGAGTCATCTTTGATTTCTCTTTTATGCTCAAACTCATTTCTGTTTGATGATTTGACCTCAACTCCTGAAACTTGAGAACTATTGATGCATGTCTCTGCTTCTGTTTTCATCTTATTACTGCAATCTTTATAACTTCTACCTGCTTCTTTTGGATTAGGTTTCTGATTCTCTGGTGGCTTCATTACTTTACATAATCTTCCATTTGGATTGGAGATCTCTTGATGTTTCTTCTCGAGGATCTCGGCTTTATGAACCTCTCCTTCTCTCTCCTTTTGTGCTACTTCAACTTGAGAAAAGCTTTTCCTCAGAGCTTTAGCTTTCTCTGTGAGTGGTGGCTTCGTTTGTATATCCACTAAACTCAAAGAATTCGGTGAATGATTGGTCTTTACGCCATTGGCTTTCTGTCTTTCTCGCGAAAACTTCTCTTTCTCAATGCTCTTTTTCTCCTCACCTCCCTCAAGATGATGAAGAATTAGCTTCTTCTCAATACTAAGTTTGTGTAAAGGCCTTTGTTGGCTCTTTGCAGTAACCTTACGTTTATCTTCTGTTGTTGGAGATGAATTCCTTTTGATAACATTTTTCTTCATAATTTCTCCATCTTTCTTGTGTAAAACCTTTCTTTTCTTGATGCTTGAGCCATCCTTGTGATGAGACTTGGCTTTGTGATTTACGTCATTCGCGGTTTGAGTCTCCGTATGGACTACTAAATCCAATGATGTTGTTGAGCTCTTTTGTGTCTTCATTTCAACAAGATTTTCATTAGCTTGCATCACTCTAGTACGCGTTGCGAGAACCTCTGGAGATTTGATGGATGCATCATTCTTGTTCTTGGTCTCTTTTTCATCTTCTGGAAACTCTCCTAATCCCATTAACTTTGCAACAACATTTGGTATCCTTCCCTTTTGAGGTTTCAATGATCTCTGTTCGGTATCTTCGCAACTACTTGTTTGCTTTCTGTGTTTCTTGTTCTTATCCTCTTGATACTTAAGCGCCAATAGCCTCATCTCGATATCCGCCTTTGCGACTTCTTTGATTTTTGTGTACTTTCGATTTGAAGT